TTTAAGGCAAAGTTAGTCGATCATAGATAGCTACTTCAGGCGAATTAGAATAAAACCTAATTCCGTACGCGGTTTCTGTAGTAAATTTAAAGCAGTCGGGTCGTTAGCTATATAAACAATTGCTGCTTTATACTTATCTAGTGCACTCATCAGCGCAAATCATCATAAATTTTGCATAAAGGAAAATAAGCAATTTCCATTTAGCGGTCATTCTTTGAAAATGACTTAGATGTTGAGTACTTTTCATGCCAAAACTTTTGAGCCTCGTACGTGGAAATCACGCATGCCTGAGACCAGATTTGAAGTCCTTACCTTGCACTTGGACAGGAAATGCTCCTTAAAATTCCAACAGTCCGGCTCCTGTGGTTCCAGAGTTAGCAATACCGCCAAAAATTTTCATAAGCTAGTACATGGAACCATACACATCTGGGTGCTGAATTTGAAAAGTTTAAATCGCACCTGGGCGAGACATTCCCTTTTCAGCCTCCCAGCTTTCCCAGTTCTCGACTTTACAGTTTTCTTGCCAAAACTTTCGCGTGTTCGAGCGCGAGTTTCAGACGTACATGAATGTTGGGTACCGCGTCCCTGGATTCAACAATCATTGGCGATGCGCCCCGGGCGGGCCTGTGCGATCATAAGTTTTTGCAGTATTTCAGTGCTGTAATGAGATCGGTCAAAAACCTGATAGCAAGGATTTGTGACATGCTGGTCCTCGTAGTTCGGGAAGTTAATTGTCTACGGTACTTGGTCGGGGGACTTCCCACTAAAACTCCAGTTTTCCAATTTTTCCCATTCTAGAGTTAGCAATTTTCCCGCCAAAAAATTACATGGGTTCGTACATGAGAATCACACTATCTGGGAGCTGAATTTGAAATCTTTGACTCTTCCGGCGGCTGGGAACACACCCTTAAAATTTCAGCTCCCAGCTTTCCAATTTCCCTAGTTAGCCATTTTTCCGCCAAAAAATTTTGAGGGACCGTACGAGAGGACCAAGAATGCCTGAAAATTGAATCTGATAAATTTTCGTTGTACATGAGCGAGGAACATTGCCTGAAAATTCCAGCCTCCCAGCTTTCCTGGTTTCCGAGTTAGCCACTTTTCAGCCAAAAAATTTCACGGGGCCTTACTTGATAACAACGCATGTTTGGGAGCTGAATTCGATGATATTAAATAGTACATGCGCTAGAGAACATTCCCTGAAAATTTTAGTCTCCCAACTTCCCTGGTTCCCAAGTTGGCGATTTTCACTCCAGAAACCCTCACGGGGCTATACGCGGGTACCGCGCATAACTGGGGCTGAATTTGAAATCTCTGAGTTCCATATGGACGGGGAACATAACCTCAAAATTTCAGATTTCTAGCTTTTCTGGTTCCTGAGTTAACGATTTTCCCGTCAAAACTTTGACCCTCTCGTACGCTGGGCCCAGACTTGCGTAAAGGTTTGTACCACGGTCTTGGAGTGTCATTTGGCTGGGGAAACCACCTGCAGAATTTTGGCGCCGGAACTTGCTTGAGTGTCGAGTTGAAATACCCGGATAGACATACACACACATGCACATACACCGGGGTCGTCGCAATATGCGTTTTCGCATTTGCATATGTACAAAAACGCATAAAAATGGACAAGGAACTGATTTTGAAGCTCGCGCGACTGCCGAGTTGAAATACCTAGATAAACGCATGCCCACGCACACAAAGAAACACATACACAGAAATACGCACGTGCACACCGCGGGCCATCAAAATTTGCGTTTTTTTTTTTTGCATACATGCGAAAACACATAATTAGCAATCTGACTTCTTTCGCACACTTTCCTTCCTCCGAGTTTCCTTTGGCGTCATTTTTCCTGTTGCCCCTTGCCCTTAATCTACTCAGTTTCCGTCCACCTTGTTTAAGCTTGATTACTTCGAAAAAAGCTTGCCAGGCTCAATTTCGTCAAAAAGCTAGTGCATGAAAAACATGTTTACTTCCGCTAGGCCTCAAACCATCGTGGTGTGGGAGAGAAAACAGACTAGGCTGTGTTAAGGCGAACTGGGTACAAATCATGGCTGTTTCAAACATGTAAAAATAACACTGCAATATGTTTTGTTCAGCCGGTAGTAAGACCATCGTCAACTTGTCCAGCTATTTTGGTGCTCTTGATTTTTTAATTCATCTTATTTTGATGGGTTTTTTTTTCAACAGAAAAACAACAATAAGGTTGTAGCGAACAAAGCTCATCGTTTCTGAAATAGTCTGAAAACGTGCCTCCTTAATTCTAGATTACAAGGACCCCCGAATATCCGTTCTATCTGTTCCCCTGTTATGCGTTTTGTGCTGCAAAAGTTTCACAAAACGCATGTCGTTGAGACCCTATGAGAGTGTATGTATATGTGTGTGTTCTGAGTGCATTTTGTCCAGGGGCTTCAACTCGGGAACCAGAGAAGCTACAAAGTTGGAATTTTGAGAGGAAATCCCTTGCTTGCGTATGATATTGCAAACTTAAATTCTGCGCCCACACCTCGGTTTCACCTATCGTTACGCGAAAGTTTTGGTGCCTAAGTTAGTAACTCAGAAAGCATAAAAAATTAGGCGACTGAGATTTTAAAAGAATGTATTCTGTCCGCGCACGAACTGTAACTTTGAAATCAATTCCTCGCATGGCTGAATCTCATGTAAGGACACGTGAAATTTTTGACGCCAAAATTTACAACCCGGAAACCAGGGAAGCTAGGAGGCCAGAAATTCAGGAGGGTATCCCTTGTCCGTACACGACCCCGCAAATTCGAATTTAGCTCGCAGGCCTGTGTCACCTAGGGACACATGAAATTTTTGGGCGCCAGAATTAGTACTCAGAAGCTAAGGAAGCCAAGAAGCTGAAATTTCAGAGTAATGTTCCTGCCCATGTACAAATTCAGCCCCTGCGTACGCTTAAGTATCAAGTATGAGTGTATGAAAGTTTTGGCGCCAAAATTAAAAAATGGGGGACCACAAACAGTAAGATGGTGCTAAAATTAGCACGTGGCGAGTCAAATAGTAAAGCACCGCACACTTTTAACAACGAAATTCCTTTGAACAGAGTTGCACAAGCATAAAATGACAGGGTTGCAAAAGTGCCCGACGAACAAAATTGCACAGACGTTTACTGAACAGGGGTTACACATAATGCATGATCACACCAGTTGCCCTGGGGAGCGACTCTATTTGTTTCAAAGGTCACCTTACTTACAGAGACACGTGTTGATAGCCTCCTACGCCGGGCAGTTCAAATGTTGCAGGCGGATGGTACTAATGGCTTCATGCTGCCCAAAGCTTTCTTAAACAGTCCAGCCATTGCAGTGATGGTGATCACCATTTCAGCCACAAGTCTTAAGTAAGCACATTTATTATGTAATTTTGCAGAAAGTTGCTTCAAGCTAATTTGATATTCTAGCTCAGTGTCTTGTCTTTGAGGCTACCCTTTTCAAAACCAGTTTCTTTACAATCTGCTCCATCATTTCGTTAGTAAACCGGTACTGGCATATTTAGCATGCCGAAAAGTGCCTCCTACTTTTAATCAGTTCCCTATAAGAAACTCCAGAGGGAAAAATCACTATCAGAAGCCACATACTGCTAATAAACGAGTTTGCACACAGCCGAAGACGCCCGTATTTCGTGGAAGTCGAAATGCAAAGATAGGTTCTAGAATTTTTAACGAAATAACTGCGGGGTTTGCTCTACAGATTTATTTTTGTTTGCAAAGCTTTTGAATTATTTTAAAGTGATAACAATTCTCTAACAAGGGGCCATCGACAGCCTTACCAACCGATCGTTACTGTTGGCACTTGTTATTCCGAGTGCCTCCACATTTTATGAAGAATGGATATGGAAGGGGCTTTGTAATTTAACTTTTGTCGATGAGCGGGAGTAGGTTTCATTCCCAAGGCAGCCTTCTTAACACCATTTAGTACATAGCAAAATTTTACTGCCTACTATTTAAAATCGTTTAATTTGCATGTCAGCTTGTACTTTGAGAAGGACTGCTCATAATTTATTCTCAAAATTTTAGCAAAGACGCAGAAATCGGATCCTTTAATCCACTAGTGCAAGCTACACTTGGTTTTGCTAATATTTCTTCAAATTACAGTGAATAAGCTTCCAAATGAAACCGATTTATGAGCTGTATTTTTAGTGACTATCTCAAGCTGTTTTCTGGCAGCGCTGAAGTGAACAAAGAATTATTCGAGGAAATTTTTAAATGGAAGAATAAGGTCCCTTTTAAAAAATTATATTTTCTGGACGAAACAGTAAATTTATGATTAAAGTTCTTTTACTTTTTCTACGTCTATGCGACGCAAAAACAAATACTTTCGAAAAGTTATCTGTGTGTGAGTGTGTATACCTGCTTGTCTATACGTGTGTATGTATCAAGTTTTCATTTCGAGATCTACAAAATCTACAAGGCTGAGACTTCACCAACTTAATCTACATCTACATACGTAACCTATTCTCAAAATGAACGTTTGCGTCCACGCTGTTCTCAAATGATCGCATGATTTTTTGGCAGGTAACCGATTTCAGGGACGACGCAATCTAGAAGACTGAAACTTCACGATAATGTTTCTTTTCAGTGCAGTCCAAAGATTTTAATTTTAGCTTCATGCACTACTGGGTCTCAGTACATACATATCGAAGTTTAAATTGGTATCATACTAACTCGAGAATTCTGAGCAAGAAGTTTTAGACAACTTAATTTTCCAGCGTTATTTGCTGCGCACTATTTTGCCCGCGAAAGCAAATTAAGCTTTTCAGCTCCCTCGTATCTTACGTACCAATGCATAAAATTTGACGTAGCTCAGCAACCGAAGCAGCTAGAGGATCGAAATATTCTGAACATGGCCCGCGGTAGTGTATGGGCAAACGCTCATAAAAATCTCTACTTTTATCTAAGCGCTAATTTTCTCATGTTTCTTTTCAGGTACAAATTTCGAATCTCTTCTGTAATAAAACCGTTGCTTGTGTTTTACATTGCTTTTACATTCATTGTACTTCTCTCTGTTCTACATTTCATGTAAATTAAATTATAATACCACGAACCTTGTACTAACGAAGTCCAGTTGTAGTGCTGAATCGGAATCTATAAGCAGAAAAAAATATTTCTTTTTTTAAACAGCAACATCATTTTTCACTGTTTCCCCTTTTTTCTCAGCTAAATTTATTAGATGTAAAAATACTATTATTATTGTTATTATTATTGCGGCATTTATTATTAATATCATTACCAACGTCCACACGCTGTACTAGTATTATTTTCACCTCCATCAACTGTGAAGTAAAAATTTAAAATTTAACTTAATTCCTTTTATGAGGAAAAACTGTTAAGCTGGAATACGTAGAATAGCTGGAAAACCATACTGTGGTCCACCATCTGTACATCAGATCTCTTGCGCCTTCACACTTATTGTGACCTACTTTATTTTTTCCAATGGTCAATCTGCTGGTGATTAAGATTTTCATTTCGTCATCTATCAGATCAGCGATGTTTTCGATAAAAAAAAGCTAAGGCTTTAGCGCGTCGTCACAGCCTGTCTTGATCTACAGCACTCCTTGGCCAACATGAGTAGCAAACCGAGTAAAGGATTTTTTTTTTGGTTTTTTTTTTTTTTAAATTATTGTTTGTTTTTGCATAAAACTGAGTCTGTGTAGGGAAGGTTTATTAGCTTGTTAAAAGCAAGAAACTATTTTCAGGATCGTATCAAAGGCGCTATCATCTTAAGCCGGCAAACTTCCGGTGACTGTGTTATTGATGAGACGGCTGCGTTCAGAAACGCTCAAAAAATGAGTCGTTTGTTGGGATCGTTACCGGAAGCACAGGAAATGACTATATGTGCGGTCACTGATTTTCACGATCATGACTGCATAGCGACCAATCGTACAGCGAAGTTAGTCATGCAAAATGCATGACTTTTTTTAGAAAAATATCATCTAAAATAAAAACGTAAACGTGTTCGCACTTTTCCGTATATATTGTTGTTGGGCTTTTTCTAGAATTCTGGCAGCTAGGCGATCGGTAGTGTAATCGACAGCGCGTCAAGCTTTGAAGGATTTGGAGATGGTAAAGATGAGAGGTTCGATCCCGCTGCATTTTCCATTTACGACAGATGGGATGGGCAAAACTTATGATATTAGAGAAACAACTATTAACTGATGGGTTTTTGTGTGTCACACTTACATAAATTTATAGTATTGTGCTTCAGGAACGAAAGTAAAATAACAGTGCTACTTTTCGGAGGCGCAGTACGCGCACATGCATACTATTGCCCAACCACAATGGCAATGCAGGACTTCTGGAAATGGAAGGTTTGCTTCGGAAAAAAATTAAAATCAGGATCTAAATCACTCTTGCACTTTATTCTCTATTAGCGCCTTGTCCACAATGCGTCGTTACGAATCAGCCTTGCAATGTTTGGGACAATTTGATGACGCTTACATCTCCTTTAAAAAACACACAAAAAAAAAACAAATCTAACCTACAGTCCTAGAAAAAAACATTAAAACATTGAAGTCAGCTAAAGAATCGCTAGGGAGCAATTTCCAAAGTACTTCAGTAACCACGCACACAAGCGTTCAAAATACAAATATATTTCCGCACTGACGCATTTGAACCAAGCTATTTGAGCTTGAAGAATTAGGTCTCGCACAATCACACATCAAGACCATCGGTATTTGCTAAATTAAGGATCAGAAAAATTTTTACTTTAGTAAATGTGGGACAAGCCCGATGAGGTTCTGATCTTGGCGTGGTCTAGTGAAGCACACAAGTTGATATATTGGAGAAGTTCTTTATGATGCTTAGATGCATTAAATTACAAAATGAGAACGAAGGGGTACGGGAGATTATACTCAGTCAGCAGTTAGCGCATAGGTAAAAAAGGAAGTAACTCATCTGTAAAACATGAAGTTTGCTGGGGGGCCCATTTCAGTTAATAAACAGATTGAAGCCTATTGCCAATAGATGGCATGTGAGCTGAATGACGTTCAAGTGAGTTGTAGTTCGAAGGCCAAGAGGATCCCGAAAATAGTCGTGGCGGCGCCGTAGGTCGAGTTGACGAGATGATGAAAAAGGTCGAAGAAGATGAAGATGAAGATCCCAACCGAGGAAAAGGGGACCTTATATAGTAGGAGAGGGGGCGCGGTTTAGGCTGTTGTCCTACCAGGTCTAACACCTTACCCAGATGTGTTCCCAGACACCGGAAATTTTTGCTCCCCCCGAACAATGGGTTACGATATGGAAAAGAAAGGGCCAAAAGATTTTTAATGGGGATCGGAACTGTAAAAGAAAGGATAGGGAAAAAAAAAGCATTTATCATGTAATACCCCGTTATCGTAAATGCAGCTTTGTCATCAAAACAGCTGCATTTACGCTTTGATTTTTGATGAGCTGTTGTTTCACTCTCGCGTTTTTACAAGCCGTTTGCGCCGCTGCATGTTCTCCACTGTTTTCTGTTTTATCTAGCCCGTCTCAACCAAACAATTTCGTATCCTTTTACCGCACTAGTCGTCTTCTCTGTAGTCTTTTAACATTGTGCGAGCCGTAAATGGTACCCTTGCACTGCTAAAAGAATAATCCGTTTTGCCCACCTGCTGTCTCTCATTTTTGCCACATAATTAGTGCAACTCTTCTTTCTGGCACACACGGCCTTAATAAAATGCGGTAAACCTTCGAAGCTTTTTTTTCACTTTAACTTCTGTCCCAATATTAGTTTTAGTGAAACTACGCATCTCGTTATTGTAGTGCTGTGCTCTGTTGTCACTTTGCCGTTCTTGAAAATTCGTTAATTTCAGACTGAACAAGATCAGCTGCGCGAAGTGTGCCAAACAATTGGCTTTTACATTTCAACCATCAATTTTCCAATACTATATGCGTATTACAGGTACAAAAATAATTGCGCTTATCTTTTTTTCCTGTACCTCAGCAGAAACCTTGATCTGAAATATAGCTAGCGCGATTCTTTATCGGCTAGCTGCTCAGCTTTTATCGAAATTCAAAAACTAATTCCTCTTAAGACCAGTCCAAATACTTTCCGCGATAAGCAGAAGTTGTGGCATCACTAATAGCATTAATGCCTTTACAATTCAAGGCACCATAAGGTTGGCCAGGTTTAACTTGAAGAAACCGTTCTCTGTAAGTAGCAGCGTTACCAGAAAGCAATCTGTGCGGTCTCGAAAGCAGGTTTAGGGCAGAGTAGGGGACTAAAACAGCCTTTTGGTGCTGACTATATCAGTGTACTACTTCAACGGTTCTATATCCATAGTCATGGCAACCCCATATTACTAGACATGTTTTTACGATATCGCATTTTTGCGCTGCATTAATAATGCAAAAATCATAAAAAATGTATTGTTTGTAGACAGACAGAGAAACAGTTGATCGAATCCTAGATTTTCTGCTGACAGTACTAACAGTGAAAGTATTAGAGCAATGCAGTAGTAGTCGAAATTTTTAATTGGCAGATTAAGTAAAGGCCAAAAAATTGGAGTGAGAAAGATTAAAAGAGAAATTTTTGAAGAGGTATATTTCGGCCATCAAACATCAGATTTCTGCAGCACCAGTGGACCTCAGTTAGTTGCGGTATTGTAAGTTAAAAGGAAAGACAAGAAGAAGAGATAAGAAAACTGAAGGAAAAGGAGAGGTTTAAAAGTAATATTTTTTCCTGGTAAAAAATCATGGGTAGTTTGATCATGGCAGAGCATAAAATGTAAAATTTTGTCGCCGAGTGACAAATTGTTCAGCAGCAATAGCGAGCAGTCTGAACGGAAGCGTAAGTAAGCGCCGTGATTCAAAGGCCGAAGTTAGGTGATGGATGGGGAGAGCGGTTTAGAAGGCGAGTCCCAAACCTCCAAAGAGACCACGAAACCACTTTGGATGAAAAGAACCCGGGATCTAGACAGTGATGTTGATTAACTCCATCCAGTGAGCAAACAATCACGACTGCATACCTATCTCCGTGTTCACATCTTCAGAGAGAGGAAGAGTTCCACTCTTCCACCGATGCGGACAGATGACCGGTACGAAACTAGCCTTCACAAAAACGAAAAATTGATCAAATTTTAATCATATTTATCTTTAAACATACTTTAATCGTTAGTAAACACATCAGTCATATTTTATGAGAATAAGGCACAAAATGAGACTGCCACAGTATGAAACTAAAAGGTGACTGACAACGGAAGCAAGGAAGTAAGGGACTGGAAACATGAATGATGGGAAATTTTCTAATGAAGAATATACCTGTGTGTATTATCGCAGGAGCTGAAAATTCAATTCCTTTACAGCTTTAAAATGCATAAATTTATAAAATTAGATTTATAAACTTTTAGCGAAGCTATGGGATCGAAAGTACCACTAGCAGAAATGATTGGGCATGGCCGAATTTCGGTTCTGCATGGCGTGAATAATTCTGGAGTTGAGCTGCAAAGAAATGCTTGTTATGGACAACACTGTATTTTCACTGTTGGTTTTGAAAAACACCCGTGATATTTACGTTTTGTGCATCGTTAATCTTTTACTGTTATTGATTAGTTTGTAACTTTTGTTAAATCGTTCATTTCTTGGTTTCGCATTGAATTCGTGAAAAAAATTAGGTTCCTGGAATAAATGAAACAACTGTTGTGTTGTCGCTTTAAAGTTATACGGCTTGCAACATTTCCAGTTGTTACGACCAGTGCTACATCTTCTGTTGGTCAGTTTTTTGCACGCTCAGATGTTCGTTTCGTCTCTTGAAAGGATCACCAACTTAACTACTCTTTCGGCAAAAGTAGTTGGCAAGGATACAGCCGCTTCGAAATGTCTACAGTTTGTACTAAACATCACCAACTTGTCTCGAATGCTGCCACTTCTTGACCACAATAACTTGCTGTTCATAAGATTTCGTCTTTAGACTAAGACATAAGTCCAACATTAGATTGACACGAATACTAACAATATTCTCAGATAGAAGCATATTATGCAAAAAGGGACCTTGGCAAAATCGTGCTCAAGAGCATTTGATAGGCGTTTGACAGAAAATACTTGCTCAACTCTTGGTGCTAAGAAGCTTATACCTTAGCTCAATAATGATGCAAATTCGCGGTCTGAGCATCCTGTGACCAGTATTTCTGCTCATTGACAGTACCCAAAGATCTTTGTTTTGAACACAGTTTTTTAGTGCGTTTCTGCGATGCAGCAGCGCAGATGAGGTGGAAGAATCAAAGCAAACATATACTGTGACGGCCCTTTGTGTGTGCGTGTTTAAATGCGCGTGTGTGTTTTTGCGCTCATGTGGGTGCGTGTGTGTGCGTCCGCCTGCCCAGCCTTGATAGATTAGTGAATAGTGCAAGCGGTTATGTTTAAATTTTGTTAAGTGCGCACCTAGTCAAAAGCGAATCCAGAAATTTCACGCAAACTCATGTAGGGGCGCATGAAAGTTTCTCCGGGAGAAATGCCAACTCGAGAACCAGGAAGGCTATGGAGTTGAAAGTTTAGGAGGATATTTTCTTAGCTAATATGCGATCCAAAGAGTTTAAATTCAGTTTCTAAATGCGCATAGACTGCACATGCGGCCATGCAATATTCAGCTGCAAAATTGTTTCCAAGTTTGGAAAACGATGAACAGAAAAATGAAGTCTTTAAGCGATATTTTCTTTTTATGCTTTTTTATTTGCAACTACAAAAACACATATTGTAACAACCCACGGTGTATGTGTGTGTGTATGCATCTGTCTGAGTATTTCAGCTAGCTGAAATTTTGTCAGTGGATTTTTCGGCGAAGTGCCTCCCAGGAGTGAAGTACCAGCCCTCATGCAAGTCTGAGCTCCGCGTATGAGTGCATGAAAGTTTTGATTGGAGAACTGCTAATTCGAGAACCAGGAAAGCTGAGAAACTAAAAGTTTCTGGGAATGTTCCTCATCCAAGTAGGAGTTAAAGATTTTAAGCTCAGCCCCTAGGCGAGTGTGGTTTCAAGTAAGGGCCCCTGGAAGTTTTGGCGGGAAAATTGCTAATTTGAGGACGGAAAAAATGGAAAGTTGAAATTTAGAGGAACATTCCCTTAACTCAATGATTTCGAACTTGACACCCAGCTGTGCACGGTTCTCACGCACAGGACTTGAAATTTTTGGCAGTAAAAACACTTACTGAACAGCTAGTTCATTTCAAAGAACGACCGTTCGATGGAAATCTTTCACTTTCTTTTAAGCAAATTTACGGTGATTTACACCAGAGCTCACAAGACAAGTGAAAAGAAGCTACTGCTAACCCAAGAACCCGAAAATCAGACCCAGGCTGGAACGCACCAGGCGGGCCT